AGCGTGTGCTGGATAAGTTGGAGGTTCATTCTGCTGTGGTGAACCCATATTAATAAAGGGACTAAGAGGAAAAGAAAATGAATCAATAAACTTTACTTGGACCCATTGTTACTCTGCAAGTAAACAATTAATTCATGCAAGTTAATTTTAATAAGTTTGTTTTGATGATCTTTAATCAAAATCTGGCCGTTTATTTACGCTCTAATACAGCAGTAGTTTTCTAATGACATCAGTTTAATGGCTTGGGCAAAATATGTTTCCATATTTCCATGGTCTCCGACAGCTAGTTTTCTGGGAGTAAAGGATGAGCACAAGGAGAGAGGAGGTGCATAAATATAAAACCCCACCCACTACTTAAAAGCCCATTTCAGTTGGAAACACATCATCAGACTGATATAAAAGCTGCAACTTTTGGTTCATGCTGACTTTGGTTCATGCTGACAAAACAAAAGTTTTGTGAAGGTGTTGTAACTTAACATATAACAATAAAACTTATTGCTATATTACTGGTAACGATTGGCAATACAAGACATTTTTCTGTTGACTAAAGGAGAAACATTATGAATGGAACTTACCAGTCATACTTTATATTATGTGGTTATACACTATTTCAATGTGGTGATGTCATTGGCCATATTGGCCAAATAATTGCTGAATATCATTATTTCTCACTATTAGAGTATATTCAGAAGTGTGTGTGTGATATTGAAAAATTAAAAATACAGTTTATGTAACGTAAATCTGAAAAGGGTTATGGCTGAAATCTTGGAAAACCACTTTTATCACTTAATATATTCATGCTAAAACAGCAATTATCAAGCCTTTAAAAGCCCAACATGTAGAAACCCAAGAGGAGAAACATTCTATTAATGATAAACTCCTGACCATATTTTAGATGTTGCTATAGTAATTTTGACAAATAGCATGTCATTTAGCTCTCCCAGAGAGCAGTTAAAACTAAACCTCAGTAAAAAGGCAGACCATGATGAACTGGTTGCATGTGTATACACTGTTCATCATGTACCCCTTTTATTGACTTACACTGCTAATTTAATCTGATTATATCTATTACGCTGTTTCCATTTGGTTGGCATTTGCTATTTTTTGATACCTTTTGTTTACAGTAAAGTGTGGGTGTAGTCTCAGTGACAGTTAGATTAGATTTTGCTCTGTTGCTCTTCAAATACAATGCACATTTAAAAGGCTGTAAATGTAAAGTAATTGCTTATTAAACAACATAAATAAATATAAATTCAGTAAATAGGACTATTCTTAACATCTGAGCAATCGATTTCAATAACCAAATTAGTCATAAAATTATATTTTTATTGACTTACAAACCTTATACATATATATATGATACAATAATATTACATTTACAACACCGCCGACAATAGTAATATTTCCCTCTAACAAACAAAACTGCATTATAATTGGTCACTTCATTACAGAACTACAAAAAAGAAAAGAAAATAACACACAAAAGCTGATTCAATAAATCACTAGAAAGAATAAAAGAGAAAAAAGAAAACAGACAAAATGAAAATGCAGAAGCACAGAATTTGATATTTCAAGATGAGGCCATAAGAGGATTGCAGAATATAAAACAAAGAAGATGAGCGAAAAGCCAGTAAAAAAAATGATATTTTGCTGCAGGAATGGGGTAATCATATTTGTATATTAGAGCTACACGACAGAGTAAGGAAATAAGATGTTCTTTTAGAAAGCAATTGGAGGAGAAAAAAAAAAAAAAACACAAAGAAATCATCTCTGTGACCTGATGACCACTGCTGCTTTAATGAATTATGCTGAAGAAGGTTTTGCTGGGTAAATGGAACTTATTACTGTACATAACGCAAGGTCCTTTATGGCTATTGCCTCTTCTGAGACCTTTTATATGTTTCATACAATCTGTTCCTCACTAATTGCTTCTTTTTTTTTAATATACCAACAGTCCCTTGCCACGGTTAGAAATGAGCGTAAGGTAGTTCATACATCATTAGGAATCCAAACCTGCATTTACAGCTTCAAGAAAGTCATTTTCCTCATGGATTTGAAGACGGATTATAAAGGAATGTAGAGGAATGGAACAAACCCCTGTATGGAACTAATCACTTGATATTATATCCATCTGTGCATGAAGGCATTGCCAAAGTCAGCATGTACCTGCGCTCTACATAATCTATGCAAGCTCATTAATATACTGTAAGCGTCCCTTGTGGCTCTTGGATTTTTTGACATGCACGTCAAACATGATTTTCAAGGTTGCATTTTTTATCAATGCGGCTGTAAATAATTGAGTGTTTACTATGACTCACAGACACAGATCTGCTTAAAAACTGGAAACTAAGGAAAGTTCCCTGTGTATAAAAATTGTAATGAGAGACTGGTGTATTTATTTTTCTACATACATCAATTGCCCACTCTATCATATATGCACAGAATGCAGTACCAGCAGACAGTGATTATTACCAGTGCTGTGTAGCAACTGATTATATCTGACCATGGACAACAAAACCACTTATAATGTTGTTTATTTATTGTATTTATTAATTATTATAATTTTTTTGAAAATTCGATTTATACATCACCTAAAAGCTAAAAATATATTTGTTTTTTAAAGAGGTATGGTCTGTTAGGATAGAATAACATTTGGCAGCGATACAACTTTTTCAAAATCTGACAAGAGAAAAAAAAAAGAAAAAGAAAAAAACAGGAGAAAACTACCCAGCAGGCACAAGACGTCAACATTACTTCAGATTGATTGGTGCACCACAACATTGTGGGATGTTGCAATTTGGGTGGAAATAAAAATCAGATTGAGGTCAAAACTTAACTTACTTTCAGACCAACGTCAGTGTCCAACATCCGACAAACATTGCATTTTGGTCACTTTCCAACGCAACTTTAAAATAACCAAATATCAGCATCTAATGATGTTACAGCCTGATATATATTTGACGTCAATATGATACTGGTTTAAGATTTTTGCCAGCTGCTTCAAATGTTATTACTCGATTTAATGGGCATTATCAGTGGTTATCAGCTGATAGATATAGGCCAGCAGGGGCTTTTTGCACCTACTGGTAAGCTCAGAATGTTGTTATCATCCATCTGCAGGGTAAATTAGCTGTACTAATAGAGAAGACTCCAAATCCAGATCTGTGTTTACATTACTGTGATGGTTGGGTTTAGGGTTGGGGTACTGGTAGACGTTAATAAAATACAATTCATGGGAAATTTTATAAATAATATTAATATTTCTCATTAACTTCCAGCCACAGCTGTACTGAGCCTTCCAGTAGGTCCCTACTGGCCCATATCTATCAGCTGATAATGCCCATTTAATCCAGTGATAACATTTAAATAAGCTGACTTTGGCGCGACATTGGATTTTGGACTTTAGATCACTAATGCAACTAAATATTGACACACTTATTGGACGTCAAAAACATTGAATTTCAGTCACCTGACATCCCAACCTACAGTAAATCTATCCTAATTTTAACATCTTATGACGTTGTGTGTCTGCTGGGTACCTTTATGTTGTTTAAATACAGCTCTCATGCATATTACAAATAGAACAATACATTTGTTATTTATAAAACAATATCGAAACATTTTTTCTATTATTAATATACAACAAAAGACGTTTATATATTATATATCAACATTATATATAATATATACGACCTCAGTTGAAGTCAGAATTATTAACCTTCTATATAGCTTAAAGTGACATTCAAAGGCTTAACTAGGTTAATTAGGTTAACTAGGCAGGTTAGTGTAGTTAGACAAGTTATTGTATAATGATATTTTGATCTTTAGACTATCGTGGGGCTAATAATTTTGACCTTAAAGCATGTTTAAAAATCAAAAACTGCTTTCATTCTAGCCAAAATAAAACAAAGAAAAAAGAAAAAAAAGAACAAATATTTTCAGACATACTGCAAAAATTTCTTTACTCTGTCAAACATAATTTGAGAAATATAAAAAAAGTAGATAAATAAAAAGGGGGGCTAATAATTCTTACTTCAACTGTACATGTACACAAATAAGCAGAAGAAAATGGATGTATATGTTTACATAGGAAATTTAGAAAATATATTTGTGAAACATGATCTTTACTTAATATGGTAATATTTGTTTGGCATAAAAGTATAACTTTGACCCTCATTATTTGGGCATCTGCCAAATATATACCGGTATAATTAAAAAATGCTTTTGTGGCCCACAATCAAATATCTAATCTGCATTATTTGTCAAATACGGTGATTTTAATTAGATTTTATTACATTTGCAAATTTTCATAACCAGATTACAGTTACTTTTCTACTTATTTCATAATTTCAAGTTTTTCGTACAATGGCAGCAAATTATTTATATTTAACTGTCAAAATTAGCTTTATTTCCATTTCAACATATACAGGACATACAGAGAATCGAAATTGCATTACTCTTAGACCTAAGGTGCATAACAGATACATTAATACTTTTTAAAGAAATTACAATAAATACAATTATACATACAATATAATCTAAAAAATATAAGTAAAAACAAAAATTGTATACAATTCAATAGCACTTAAGGATGCATGGCAATGAGTGCAAACCAGAGTTGTGCAGATGTAAAACAGTATGTAGTGCAAAAAGCTTTTAAATACGATAAAGTGACAGTGTCCTTTCTAAGTTTTCCTTTCTAAACAAACAAAAAACAATACAGTGTGCGTATAATGTTTTCCTCATATCATGTAAATGGTTATTTTGTAAAATCCATGACTTTGAAAATAACACTAATCAGAATCTACTTCAGACAGCTGTTCTTTGCTACGCTTTACTCAAGTCTCTATTTGAGAGTTCTGCTAAAGGGTCCTAAATTACACACAAAAGAGAACTATTATGTACACGCTCATCATCAAAGGCTCTTCTCTTCTTTTCTGCACAGGTCAAAGGGATTGGCAGAAGAATGCTGGCGCCAGGTGCCCAGGGGCAGGATGGCGATGTGTTGGCAGAGAGCTGCGGTTGTTAGATGGTTCCTCTTGATGCTCCTGTGGCACTGGGCACCTCTGGGCCCTCTGAGCTGGTTTCTGGCTCTGGCTGAGCGTCTGGACCAGAAGACCTCACCGTTCTCTTCCATCTCCGGCCGGAGCAGCGGCCAGCTGGATTGGCTCCTGTCTGATAAAGGGCCCTTCCATCGCTGTCCAGAATACACAGAGTTCAAAGAGCGCTTCCAACAAGGCTTCTCCACACGCTACAAAATCTACAGGTTTGTGCTGTGGTTATTGTATTATTAGCGGAAAATTACAATCAGAATTATAACAATATTTTTTCTCCACTATTAGTGTAAACACAGTGTAGTTAGTTATAATAAAATACAATATTTATTTATAAAGCACATTTAAAAACAACCAAAGTAGACGAAAGTGCTTTACATAGACATTATTATAATGTAACATTGCTGGGCTACACACAATTCCTTTATGTTGTCCCAACATGAATCAATTAAGTTGACCTAATTGATTTTACAAATTTAAGTGGATTGAACATAAAACAGTTAAGTTGTCACCAAAAAAATCTCAAACCTTGTGTTGATTCTGCTAATTTTAAATCAAATAAGAACTTTAAACAAGCAGCAAAATTAATTGTTTTAGTGAAAAAGAATTACAAGAAACTAGTTAGTTAGTTTGTTAAAATTTTTATTAATTACGGTATTTTATTTTGTTATAAAATAATAACAAACACCAGAAAAACAGTTTATTGTAAGCAGGTTCAAAAGATTGAATTTCCCAAAAGGGTTTATATAATAAATATCTTATAGCCAAGATTTCCAATTGTTTGATGAAAAATACAATAATACTGTAAAAAATATTTGTCCAAAATAACTGTTAATAAAAAAATAAATAAATAAATAATAATAATAATAATAATAATGATACTACTACTACTACTACTACTACTACTACAACTACTACTACTACTAATAATAATAATAATAATAATAATAATAATGTATTTTTAAATGTACACTTGTGTACACCACTGCTCAAGTCTTCAGTCACATCAACTTTCAGAAAATTTGGAGGCAGCAAGTTTTTGTTACTGAGTATTTTTTTAGGAAACAAAAAATGTATTTACAGTTTTCCATATTTTTATTGCATCACTTGACCTTGATCTTTACTCCAACAACTTTTGATGCTGAAATATTTGAAAAAGTGATAAGTTTAGTTTCCAAAAAAATAAATAAATAATAAGATGCCATTTTTAAAAATAAAATTTCAAACTAAATTATTTATATATACGTGTTGCATATAGACTGCAGCAGCTCATTATTTCATTACTTGCATAAATTAAATGATTGAATGAAACTTCACAATGTACAGTATACAGTATACGTGATTTTCAATACATAGTTTTTTTATCACGCCACTGTATATACAGAGAGTATGTAACTATGAAATCACTCATAATTACGTTAACTAAAAACTAATCAATCTTCAGCAAAACATGAAGTTTGATTACATTGTAAAACGTTAAATGAACTTTAATCCTTAGTGATTGAAAAACTATATAAACCAGTGTTGGGTTCTGCAGCAAAGTGTGGATCTTTCGGCAGGATAGTGTGGGCGCAGATTTCATGCAGACAAACTGACCTTTCGTCAGTCATGTGACAGATCAAATAAAGCACAGTGAGAAGCCCTGACAACAACATAGCAGAAAGAAATGAAAAAAAGAGACAAAAAGCACTGACATCTCAGTTGTGATGAGGCGCAGATCAATTTAATCCGATGTGGCTCAGTGTGTTGATATTATGGGTGAGTTTACAGGTGAAGTCATGTGATAGAAAAAGGGCAAATCTTGATCTTCTCTCATGCTGGCTGTTGTTCATAAAACAAGGACAAAAAATATATATACAGCAGAAAGATATAGAGGATCATCTAATATTAGATAAGTAATAAGTTATTTTAAAGTTTATATTAAAAAGTGTCATTGTTTGTTAAAAAAAAATCTAAGCAACAAAATGGTTTTCAATGTTAATCACTAATATTATTTTGGTTCGTTTGGTTTTTCTACGCAAAAAATCAGTATATTAGGATTTCTGAAGGATCCTGTGAAACTGAAAACTGTAATGATGCTAAAAACTCAGCTTTGCATCAACATAAAATATATACTGTATATTCGTACATGCATTCAAACTCGCAATAATTAATTAATAGGTTCAAATTTTCTCAAAAATGCTGGGTTGTTTAAAGCCAAACCTGGGTCAAATACAAACAAAGCCAGGGATTGGTTTAAATTTTATTTAATTTAATTAATTTAATTTAATTCAATTTAAATTAACGTATTTTATTTTGTTGTAAAATAATAACAAACATCAGAAAAAACAGTTTGTTTTAAGCAGTATGGTTCAGAAGATTGGATTTCCCAAAAGGGTTTATAAAATAAATATCAAATTGTTTGATAACAAATACAGAAATACTTCAAAATATTATTTTAATCTAGAATAACTGTTAATATAATAATAATAATAATAATAATAATAATAATAATAAGTATTATTATTATTACTATTACTATTATTATTATTATTATTATTATTATTATTATTATTATTATTATTTTGAAAGAAGCAAATATTTTATTTATATACATAGTAAAAAAACAAACCTCATAAACCAGGTTTAAATATTTTCAATAAATGCTGGGTTGTTTAATCCCAAACCTGGGTCAAATATGAACAAACCCAGAGATTGATTCAACATTTAGTTTAGCAATATAACAAATGTATATGAATGTGTAATTTTCTAATCAATTTAGCAAAGTTATAAAACTTTAACATATTTAAAGTTAATTGTCAAGAAAATAATTAAAAATGTATTTAAGTACTATAAAATACCCAAATAATAGAAAAAAAGAATAACTACTTAAAGATTTGAAAAAAAGAAAAGCTGGTCAAAAAAAGAAAAGCTAATCATCACTAAACTACTAAATCTTTAAATAACATTTTAACGATTGTTTTATTTATTATAATAATATTTTGATTTGTTTTTATAAAGTATCACTATTACTACAACTTTTTTTGCTTTTAGAAAAGCATTTACTACACTACACCATCTGATGCAGACTTATTTAATATTTTCCTTAAGAATCAAACCTGTGACCTTGTTATTAATAGCACACTGCTCAGCAAAACTCATCATTATTCTGAAAAAGAGCAACACTGATCATTATTCAGCACCTGACCGCTTTAATTACATGCGCATGGTATGCTGCTCTCACATCATATATTCAATACAGTGCATATTAAATATCAACTTCTATGCATTCATTCCAATTCACAACATAAACAAGCACAACGAGGCAGAAAAGTGTTTCTATCTTTACTCTGGCTGACCTTGATTCCACCAGGGTATATGGCCCTTTAGCCTGTTTTCTCTGTTAAGGAATTCAGAAGGCAAATTTCAGTTTGACACTAACCTCTGCCTAACGTCTCATGACAGATTGCACAGGTACGGGACCACCTGAAAACAGCATCATAGACGCATCAAGGCTGTTTTTGCCTTGTGTGCTGGAGATTTGTCTGATCTTCCTGCTTATTTGCTATCACTCGCTGTTGACTCCAAGCAGACAATCAATGCACAGAAATGGGGAATGTTATGACTGAGATGAATCAGACACACAATTGTTTGTTATATTTAATAAATAAAGCTGAAATACACCTTACCTAACTAGGGCACAGTGATTTACATGATAAAGAAAACACCAAAAAAATGTGAAATCCAGTCACAACAATGGAATTAGATATTTAAATTAGAATGTCATGGAATTAGATTTATTATTTTTTTTAAATAAAGTAACTCTTGATGTATTTTCTTTTAAGTTGTGAGCATTTTTAAAGATTTTTCAACTTCATGGTCTTCAGAATACCTTCTTCTAAAATTTTCAACCAAAATAAAGAACCAAGCCCCTGCTTTTAAAAAAAACATGCACACACACAGATATATATAGGGCAGAACGTTGTTAAGCTTTTACATGCAATCTGATCTACACCTATTCTGATCATCTTTGTACTCAGGAGACCCAGAGGTCTTGTAACTTATTCAGGACATGTGTTAGGGCTTCCCGTACAATAATAAACCCAAAACACAGTCTGCTGTAAAAACTCCTCAGTGATGTGCAGTGTTAGGGAAAATTACTTTAGTAAGTAATGCATTACAATAATTAGTTACTCCCCTAAAAAGAAACTAGTTACTTTTTATGGTACGTGTTGCGTTACATTACTTTTGAGTTAGTTTCGCTTTACTTTTTATTTCCTGGCTGAGGCTTGATCTCTTTCTGAACGTCTTTTTTATTTTATTAGAAAAGCTCTGCAACTAGTAATGCACTGTAAAACCTACATTTACTTTTAAAGAATACATGAAAACTATATATTTAGGAAAATGCTATCTGAAAAGGTCCTAACCCCAGAGCTTTACATGCCATATATACAGATTAAAGTTTAAAATCATTCAGTCAATATACTGGATACATTCTCTCATTGACTACATGATTCATTGTGAAAATTTTCATTTAAATTCAGCTATTATTTTAAAAAAAAAAGCAAATTAATTAAACTAATAAATAATTGTGCTACATTTTCAAAAAAGTAATTCAAATATTATTACTTATTTTTTTAAAGTAATGTGTTACTTGTTACTTAGAAAACATCATAAAAGCAATGCCTAAATGCTTTGTTGCTTAAATGCTAGCAGGCATCTGTAGCTCCTCTGACGCTCCGCCTCTTTGCCCTTGTTTGATATCCCCCAGTCAATGCGATGACACGTGAACAATATGGCGATGGTTGGCCATGGCTACTTGTAGCTTCATTTGCTCTCTTCAGAAACCTATGGGTGACATCACGGATACTACATCCATATCTTTTACAGTCTATGATCCAAACCAGCAAATTAAGCATCAGTCTGGGTGACACCCAGGCACAACCAGGCCCGAATTACAAATAATAGCATCTACTGTATAAAAGTGGATGTTTACAGCTTAAGGGAATGTGTATGTCCACATAAAACAAGACCACATAACGCAAAACAGTACAGAAAAAGTGTGTTTGGTGCATTACTGTGGCTGACCTCAACTCCTCCAGGGGTGTTTGGCCTTTTCGCCTGCTTCCTCTGCCCCCCGCCGTCACGCAGCCGACTCTGTCCTACTCTCTCTCCGCTCTGCAAATTCAGAACCCAGCATGCCTACAGCAGCTGGGCAGAGAAAGGCCCACAG